CACGATACAATGACCTAACCTCGTGTTTGCTCATACAACTTAGCATTGGAGGTAAATATGTAAAAGTCATTGCTAAATTCTTCAATCCCAGGATTGACCTTAATAGTGCACTATGGCTGTAATATTCTGCGAGTGCTGATTAAATGTTACTTATAAGACCTATAGAGCCTCACTAACTGGAATATTATAATGTACTTCGAAGATACATCAAAAATTACAGATAAATCCGCTGGCATAATAATGTCATAAGAATGCCCTATAGAAAGCTGCCAAAATTTTAAGATTTTTTTCAGTTGTCCACAAATAAATCGTCGTGTTTTATTCATCGCAAAAATTTACTTATTCACAATGAGCCTAAGTCTGCCGCTTCTTTGTGAATTTTAATGAGAACTTGCACACATCTTCGTTTAACACTTCTCCCCTACTGAAGCACTGATGTTAGCTTCTGCAGGGGCCTTAGTCATAATTCTATACGCCACAAAATTGGCTAAAGCGTCTGCATTCCGTCTCCTATCCTTACTCATAACTGCTCCCCTCTTACATACGAAGAAAATGCGGGCTTCGAAGAATCTTCTGAAATAAGATTGATGTATTGAAGTGCATGATGAAGAGATTCGTAGGTAAACCTCACCACAAGACGTTGGCTGATTCACGTTGTACTGCAGCCGTTTGACATTAATACGACGTTTACGAGACATCCTACAATGTTTCAGGCTAAGACAGGCTGAGCTTTCGTTCGTCATGTGACCGAATTCTCAGAGCTGGGACTCATTTTTGCAAACGCCTCAAGCTAACACTAGTTCAAGAAGTGTTAAATTGAAGCTTTTGCAAGGATGATACCGAGCTGTGAGATGTTCGTCCCATGACGAACGAAAGCTCAGCCTGTCTTAGCTTTAAACGTTAGAGGACGTCTCGTGGACTGCATTAACCAGAACGTCGTATTAAGGCCAAACTGCAGCAGTACATCGCGAAGAAGCCAGCGTCTTCTGGTGAGATTTACCTACGAATCTCTTCATCATGTACTTCCATAAGAAATGAAAGTTTTCACATCAATGATCCCCTCTTGTCAACCCTCAAACAATTTGTTTGTTTTGTCTATGCTTTCCTATGCTGTTGCTAATCCACATATTCTTATTTGGTGCTTCAGCATGGCTATCAGCTAGGGGAACAACTGGTGATTCAATCTTATTTCTAGCCACCTTTGCTAATTGATCGGTAAAATGTATGAATTATACCAAAATTTCCCCCGTAAAATCCATACTATTTATAAAGCCTAATTCAGGCCCGTTGATAAAACCTCCTTCGTGGTAGCATTCAATAGGCTTTAGGTCAAATTTACCACTTTCTGGGAAGCCCTATTTTCCCCTTCTCCTTTAGCTACTTTATGTATAGCTTTCAAGGTTCTGCTTCGAATACTCAAATTCTTGATTTCATATCATGATTCTTTTTTACCTGACGAAACACTGTTTCACATGATGTATCTGCTCTTGATTGTATCTCCGAGACTTCCTGTGAATTAAGAATGTCAAACAGGGATTGCAGAAGTCGGGTTTTTGTTATAATCAAATGATTTATTGTACATTTTTTTTCGAAACCCATACTTACCCAAAGTATGAGCTACTTTTACAAGAGCACTTTTAGTTATATGTGGCCAATTAGGTCTGTCAATGATAAAAAGCTTATAAATAGTACTACACGATGAACATAATCTCAAAAATCCAATGTGTTAATTTGGTTGCTGATTAATTTCTTGATCCTGATGTAAAGCGGTGAAATTTGGAAACGTTTGTCTTGTATTCCTTGTATTCGTCTCTGTACTCGACTTCTCATGGTACTCGGGAAGCCTGCTGTCAGCCTGTATATTCTCAAAGTGTAAAGACCAGTGAAGAGAGAGCCGAGGCCATCTGCCGAAACACACTTGGAGCCTATACTTGCCAATGCCCTGCCGGCTGGTCGGGCGAGTTCTGCCAGGTACCACCCACCCAGTGGCCGGCTGGTTACCAGCCAAAGCGGCTTAAATCATTGTCTGAGCAGGCGGCTGACTGGCGCCAATTGGCGGACAAAAGGCAGGCTGAGATAGACTCAGCAGTCGCCGCGGCCGGGGTGGCGTCAGCTTCCGACATGTCGTCGGGACGAGAAGGAGTCGTGGAGA